TTGCATATACAAACAGTTTGAAAACCGCAGTATAACAGTTTCCAATCATTGTATTGATACGTTTTGAAAGTCAGCTTTTCATGCACCCCGCAACAATATGAGCGCCAACAAGCTTTTTGTATTCAGAAGGAGTTGAGTTTAAATTGTAGTTGTTTTGGAGAGCATACATGTTACTTTTTTCTGAAATCAAACTCCAGAAGCTATCGTCGAAGTACTCACAAAAATAATTAAATGGTGTCCACATCTGTCTATTCTCAACATCCCATTCAATTTCGTCGGAACACTGATGGGAATTTGTAAAGCCTTTTGAAAACCATTTTAGTCTTCGGACCTGGGTTTGTGGCAGAACTTCGGGTGTTGATGATTCTTCTTCATCTATTAATTCCGCCGTTATTTCCTCCTCAAAATCTATGCCATTTCGCTCCTCCATATCATCTTCATCATCTGACATATCCTCACTATCGCTTTCCAAGAGCATGTCAAAAATCTGCTACTCTGTTAGTTTACTTCCCACTTTTACTAGTACGTTACAAATGTGCAGTGGGCTGTTCATGAACAAAATTGCCAAAAATAAGGGTATTAGAATAAAGTTAGTGATAAGATCTATACATTACCTTGTTTATTGTAATTCGAAGAATATATCTAAATACACTTTGGAGTTATTCCGTTTCACGGCTTTAAAAATTTAAACTTATTTTCATTACCACTTCACAAAACTTGTTTTTCGCTCAGCTGACTATACTTGTTGTGCTTTATTTTACAGTATTACCAGAATAGAGCAAAAGTTTCTGGTTTTTAATACAAACATCATGTCCAGCTAACTTTACAAATGGTCGTCAACGCAAAAACTATTATCAAAACATTTCTACGGACATTTGAAATATGTCCAGTAGGCTGCATGTTAGGACCGAGGAGGTTACAGCCTAAAAAAGTTTACCACTGATATGTAAAACAGCTTCTCATAAAAATACAATCGCCGTTCGGAGTCGGCGTAAAACTCCGCGTCTCCGCTTTGTGAGACAACATCAAAGCTCACGCCACAAATCGAAGGAGAAGCTCGGGCAAACACTAACATATGTGTAAGCACCAATCTATTATTATTATTATATATTTAGAAGTTTCCTCTTCTAATTTGTGCAAATTTACACACCGTGATATTAAAATTAAACACTTCCTATTTACTTTTGTCACGTAGAGCAAAATTACACCTAAAAAGTTTAAAATCGATTAAATATGGGGACTTAATGCTTATTAATAGTAGAAAATATATTTTTCCGTTCAAAATTTTTGCAATTTTAAACATTTCATGTGTATATCTATGTGCATATTTTAAAGACCTCATGCTTAAAAATCAAATCTTGGATAAGATGTTATGCCTATATTTACACAGAGTTTGGTTCAAAAATAAACACTTTTCAGTAGTAGTTTTACATGCACTTTTTAAAGTATACATACTAAGGATGCCAAAATATGAGGAAAATTGTGATCCCGGGATTTCGGGATATTTTTTTCAGTAACCTCGGGATCCCGGGATTCACATTGAGTCATAATTTTTATGAATATGAGTAAAAATTCAGTATCTCAAAGCATTTAAACATACCGTGAAATAAACCTATTTTAAATTTACGATAAACTGATTGTAAACCTCACATATTTATTAAATCAGACCAAAAGTACTACATTTTTTAAACTGTATTTAACAAACCATGTGATTGAGGAACGTATACATCCCAAATAACAATATAAATACCAGGTACTTTTGAAAGTAATGATTAATAAAAAACATATATATATAAAATGGCGAATTTTTTGCCATCTTTTCGCAATTAACTCGAAATTTTGAGGGTGAACAAATCAAACGGACCCCAGTTTCGATTCACCGGGTCGAAATATATGTCGGTAGGTGAGTCTGGTTAGAAGCATACACCCCTTTTTTGTGCCGGTGTTGTTATTATTGCACTTAAAATGTTTTCATAAGAGCAGCAAAGCATTCAAAGCGGAGTCTTCTAAGCTTGACCTGCAGTTTTTGCATACAAAACCTACTAATGAAAAACATATTTCGGCATCAATACTTTTAGGCTGAACTGCTAAAAGGTAGACATAATCCATTTGAAGATAATGACCCTGACAAAATATTTGAACTTCTTTTACCAGCACGTTTCTCCTTTTTCGATTTGAGGAAGTTTTGAGTAGATTGATCTAAAAAATTATCTAACTTTTCTTTAACCCTTAGCCACCTAACGCCGGTCACAGTGACTCTACCGTTTTTTATTTTTTAAGTATTCCCGTTATTATGCAAGCTGCGCAGTTGTCCGCCTATGTACTTTTTCTTTTCTCTCGTCAGTTCGTTTTGTGCAATCAGGCAGTCAACACGTGTACCAATTCAAAAACTATTTACTATTACAAAACTTACTATTTACAAAAATTATTTACAAAAGCTATTTTAATTGCGATTTAATCGCGCCAAAAACAACTTATTATTGAAGTCCATGTTTTTAAGTTATAAAAAAAAGAAAAAAATTTTAAGTTCGAATATTTTTTCCTAATTAGATCTCATTTTATAAAAGTATCTACGTTTTCTTACAAAATTCGTATAACAATGAATAAAAAATGTTATTGAAGTATGAAACTTCTTTTAAGTTAATTTTTTGTTAATATTAATTAAATAA